ATGTAAAGAAGGACTGTACAAAATATCACGCCTGGCGTGATAATAAGGGTACGTTCCTTACTTTGGTCTGTTCTGAGGTTAATTTAGCTTCAGTACCTAGAAACACTTGGTGGTTAGACTCTGGTGCTACTACTCACATAAGTGTTTCTATGCAGGGTTGTCTGAGCTACCGAAAGCCAAGTGATGTTGAAAGACACATCTTTGTGGGCGACGGACAATCGGTAGATGTGGAAGCAATTGGGCACTTTAGGTTGTTGTTAGGAACTGGTTATTATTTGGATTTAAAAGATACTTTTGTAGTACCGTCTTTTAGACGGAATTTGGTTTCTGTTTCTGTATTGGACAAATCAGGTTATTCTTGTTCATTTGGAAACAATCAATTCAGTTTATCTTTTAATTCAAATATTGTGGGAACCGGTTATTTGAGTACTTATGACAACCTATATTTGCTTGATACAATTACTTCTTATAATGAAACTTTGCATGCGGAATCGCGTGGTACTAAGCGTAAATTAAATAAGGAAAATTCGGCAACATTATGGCATAAACGCTTGGGTCATATCTCAAAAGGTAGAGTTGAGCGTCTTGTGTCTGATGGTATTTTGGATTCCCTTGATTTTTCGGATATATCAAGGGAAAACAGACCAAAGTGAAGAGATTAGGTGCCAACAGATCTTCGGATGTCTTAGAATTGATACATACGGATATTTGTGGGCCATTCCCTACGGAATCCTGGAATGGTCAACAATATTTTATATCATTCATAGACGATTACTCACGTTATGGGCACCTATATCTTATTCATGAAAAATCTGAGTCTCTGGACATGTTCAAAGCCTATAAAGCTGAAGTTGAGAATCAACTCAACAGAAGAATTAAAACCGTCAGATCTGATCGTGGTGGTGAGTACTACGGTAGATATGATGGTTCAGGTGAACAACGTCCAGGACCATTTGCTAGATACCTAGAGGAATGCGGTATCGTCCCACAGTACACTATGCCGGGTTCACCTAGCATGAATGGTGTAGCTGAAAGACGAAACAGGACTCTTAAGGATATGGTAAGAAGTATGATTGCTCATTCTTCTTTACCAGAGTCACTCTGGGGAGAAGCACTTAAGACAGCAGCTTACATTCTGAATAGAGTACCAAGTAAAGCAGTTGCTAAAACACCTTATGAGCTTTGGACTGGTCGAAAGCCCAGTTTAAAGCATTTACATATTTGGGGATGTCCAGCTGAGGCAAGGCCTTATAGGCCGAATGAAAAGAAATTGGACTCCAAAACAGTTAGCAGCTACTTTATTGGGTACTCTGAACGCTCTAGGGGCTTTTAAGTTCTATGATCACACTATAAGGAATATTTTTGAGACGAGAACAGCAACATTCTTTGAGGATGTTGAGTTTGGGGGGAGAAATAAGGTTAGAAACATTGCTTTTGAGGAGGAATTGGCTTCAGATCCAACCCATACAGTTACTTTTGACAATATTCAGGTTCCTATACCTGTTGTTGCTCAAGAAGTAAATCCGGAACCTCAAGATGATAATGTTGAACAACTCCCTGTTCCAGAAGAACAAACTCAACAACCTCAAGAACCAGTGCCATTAAGGAGATCCACGAGAGAAAGGAGAAATGCTATTCCGGATGATTATATTGTATTTCTCCAAGAACATGAGGAAAGTAGTGGAATGTTAGAAGATGATCCAATCAACTTCTCTCAGGCCATGAAAAGTTCTAACTCTCAACAGTGGATTGATGCCATGAATGAAGAGTATAAGTCTATGCAAGACAATAAGGTTTGGGAACTTGTCCCATTGCCAGAAGGTGCAAAACCAATTGGTTGTAAATGGATTTTTAAAACCAAGCGGGATGCAAACGGTAATGTGGAGAGGTATAAGGCGCGTCTTGTGGCTAAAGGCTATACTCAAAAGGAAGGCATTGATTATACAGAGACTTTCTCTCCGGTTTCATCGAAAGACTCTTTCAGAATAATCATGGCACTTGTTGCTCATTATGATCTTGAGTTACATCAGATGGATGTTAAGACTGCATTTCTCAATGGAGACATTGATGAGATGATTTATATGGTGCAACCAGAAAACTTTGTGTCAGGAGACCCAAAGAATATGGTTTGCAAATTAAGGAAATCCATCTATGGACTCAAGCAAGCTCCTCGTCAATGGTATCATAAGTTTCAACAAATAGTTATCTCGTTCGGTTTTGAGATGAACATTGTTGATGACTGTGTATATCACAAGTTCAGTGGGAGTAAGTATATTTTTCTGGTTCTGTATGTGGATGACATCTTGCTTGCCACTAATGATATAGGCATGTTGCACGAAACCAAGAGATTTCTATCAAAGAATTTTGAGATGAAAGATCTTGGGGACGCCTCTTTTATATTAGGGATCCAGATACATCGAGATCGCTCTCGGGGTATTCTTGGATTATCACAAAAGAGCTATATCGATAAGGTACTTAAAAGGTTTGGCATGCAAGATTGCAGACCAGGTGACACCCCTGTTGCTAAAGGAGACAAGTTTAGTCTCAATCAGTGCCCTAAAGGTAACCTTGAAATTCAGGAAATGCAGAAGATTCCTTATGCTTCGGCTGTAGGAAGTCTAATGTATGCTCAGGTATGTACGCGTCCGGATATTGCGTACATTGTTGGGATGTTAGGCAGATACTTAAGCAACCCTGGTATGGATCATTGGATAGCAGTCAAAAGGGTTATGAGGTATCTTCAGAAAACAAAAGATTACATGCTCACATACAGAAAATCAGAAAAATTAGAGATCATTGGGTATTCGGGTTCTGATTTTGCTGGATGCCAAGATAGCAGAAAGTCTACATCAGGCTACATTTATATGTTAGCAGGAGGAGCTATAACATGGAAAAGTGTCAAACAAACACTAGTAGCTTCCTCCACTGTGGCAGCAGAATTTATAGCTTGCTATGAGGCATCCAATCAGGGAATATGGCTGCGAAATTTTGTCACGGGACTGCGCATTTTGGAAAATGTTGAAAGACCACTAAGGTTATATTGTGACAATAAATCTGCAGTAATGTATTCCAATAACAACAGGAGCTCAACTAAGTCAAAACATATTGACATTAAGTTCCTGGTTGTGAAAGAAAGGGTACAGAGTGGACAGATATCCATAGAGCACATTGGGACAAACTCCATGATAGCTGATCCTCTTACTAAGGGATTGCCACCTAAGGTCTTTCATGAGCATACTGCTCATATGGGTGTGGTATTATTTGAGGATATTATGTTTTAGTGGGAGTTTGTAATTGTGGTGCTTTATGTTTGGTTGTATTGTCTGATCAGAATAAAGTATTCAGTTAAGACACTCTGTTACATTATGTTTGGTTTTGACCTCACTAAGGAGGACCAGTTGAAAATAGACATGTACTGATCACATTGCATGTAATTTTCATGCTGCACATCCATGATTGATCTATGTCGTTTGATTGTATTGGTATATGTGACCATTGATGGGTCGAGTCACGATAAATGTGACGAAGGCCGCTTTAATCCTATATTGATATAGTCAATGGACGAGATTGTTCAGAAATACCTTTTCAGTGATATCAATTTTTGAGCTCATAAGGTTATACACAATTTAAGGAATCATATGGTGCCCAAGTGGGAGATTGTTGGATTTAATCTAATAAATCTATTTGTGGGCACATATGATTAAATCAATGTGTATTGTTATCTTTCAGGATAACCCACTAAAGTGATCAATTAATTTGGGTTAATTGAGTATTTAAATAAAATCATGGGGTTATATGTGCAGATACCAGGTTGTAATTGTGATTTATTGAGGGGCTAAATTACAAAAGTACAACATCTATAAATAAGGGGTTATGGTCCCTAACCTAGGGTTACATTCTCTAATTCTCTTCACCCCCATCTAGAGAAAGAAATTCGGATTTAGAGAAACCCTAAGGTTAGAAGATCATTGAAACCCAAATCAAGTTTTCTTCTATGGATTCAGGTATAAGCTTCCGCTCATTTATGATTCTTGTTAATCTCTTTGAATTAATCATGGCTATATGGTTTTAGATCTCAAGTTTTGGTTTAGATCTAACAGAAGCAAATTAAGTAATCACAATGCTAAAGTTTAGAGATGTAAGTAAGCAAAAACCATCAAAGTGGAACCGAAGAACAAGTTTTAGTAAGGATGTAAACCACATATACTTAACCATGACATTTAACCACGTGCATTGCACGTGCATAAAACCTAGTCTTTTTTGTAAACATGTAACAAATGTGCAATTTTTTTTTAAAATATTCATTTAGTCTTTCAATGTTTAACTCATCAGCGATTATTAAACACGTTGTATTATTCTACTTCGTGAAGGGCTAGGATCAAAGCGTATTTGAATTTTGACGTAGCTTTTGAATTGAGTTTCTTGGCTTATTGGGACAGTGAAATTTAGATTATAGTCGAGCCTTCGTATCTTCAAAATGTATGGAGGATAATTTGTTTGAAATCTACAAGATGATCAAAGATGATTTATTTGAACAAGCTTGACTTTATTTGCTGATCTGTGATACTGGTCCCAAAATAGAACAGTTCTAGACTCGTCCTTGTGTGAATATACTTTGCGTCTATCTATCGTCGGGTAACTTTCGCATGTTATCATAAATGTTTGGTGATATTTTTATCTGATTAAAACTAATTTGCAATATTATATATTTTCAAACAATTGATATATCTCCTCGGAGCAAAACTTGTGTCAACTTAAATGAATAACAAAAAGTTATCCATCAAATTTTTTAACCACTCATATTGCTTAGGGATCCTTTCATGATATGAAAAGATTTTCTATATTAATAAATAAATAACTAGAAAGTTTGGTAGACATCAACTTAAAGTTAATAGGAGTCGTACTCTATCTCCTCGTGGTCTTTGTGAAATTTATTTATCCTTCAGCCAGAGCTCCAGACATGAAGATGCCCAAAGCAAAGCAGCCAGTGTGAACAGATCCGACCCTCACGGGCGAAGCCAAGTATGAATCCGAAACCTGATCTTCGACTCCAAGCGCTCTAGATTCTCGACCCTGACCTCAAAAATGGCCAATTCTGAACGAACCGAAGACCCGTGAGAATTAAAAACAAGGCCCCCAGCCTCCACAAAATTTACTCAAAACCCCCCCAGGCCCCCAGAACTCTGTTATGACCTGCCTCCGCTCAAAGCTCCCCTCCTCAACAAAGTCAAAACCCTAACGTCCTCTTTCTCAGCCGCAACCACCACCGCAACCGCGCCGCCGCCGCAGCCTCCTCCACCGCCATGGCCGCGACAACAGACGTCCGTCCCCCTCCGCACGCGCGTCTGCATCATCGGCACAGCGCGCCCGCCGCCCACACCGCCGCGATCTACGCCGCGCGTGCCGAGCTCAAGAAGCCCATCCTCTTCGAGGGTTGGATGGCCAACGACATCGCCGCCGGAGGCCAGCTCACCACTACCACCGACGTCGAGAACTTTCCCGGGTTCCCCGAGGGGATCCTAGGGTTTGAGCTCATGGATCGCTGCAGGAACCAATCTCTTAAGTTCGGGACTCAAATCTTGACCGAAACTGTTACCTCTGTTGACTTCTCGAAGAGGCCGTTCAAGGTTTTCACGGATTCGACTTCGGTGGAGGCCGATTCCGTTGTTGTGGCTACTGGGGCTGTGGCGAGGAGGCTGCATTTTGATGGAGCTGATGAGTTCTGGAACCGAGGGATCTCGGCATGCGCTGTCTGCGATGGAGCGGCGCCGATATTTAGGAACAAGCCAATTGCGGTGATCGGAGGAGGGGATTCCGCCATGGAAGAGGCTAATTTCTTGACTAAGTATGGGTCTAAGGTTTATATTATTCACCGCAGGGATACATTTAGGGCTTCCAAGATTATGCAGGTATGTGTTTTCTTATGGACATTTTGTCGAGCAGTTGATGTGCAGTTGTTTGTTGCTCAATTTGAGTTGGAGTTTTGCAGGCAAGAGCTTTAGGGAACCCTAAGATTGAAGTAATTTGGAACTCCACGGTTGTGGAAGCTTTTGGAGACGGGGCACTTGGGGGTGTTAAAGTTAAGAACTTTGTGAACGGGGAGGTGACAGAACTGAAGGTCTCGGGGTTGTTCTTTGCTATTGGGCATGAGCCGGCTACTAAGTTCTTGGGAGGGCAGCTTGAGTTGGATGCTGATGGGTATGTTGTGACCAAGGCGGGGAGCACGCAGACGAGTGTGAATGGAGTTTTTGCAGCTGGGGATGTTCAGGATAAGAAGTACCGGCAAGCAATCACTGCTGCTGGATCAGGTTCGTGAGCTTGAAATTCTTTTTTTTTTAATGTCACAATTAAATAAACTGTTTCATTAGTAGTTCAGATGCAAATTAGGTACATATATAATTTTGTGTTCCTAGCTCATGCAATATCATGGTGCCTTAGGTAGCGTCACAAGGCTGAAGATGTATTAGGATTTGGGTCATTGTTTTGAATCTGTTTTCCTTTACATGGATTACATTTATGGGATTTAGGGTGTGAATGAAGGATTTGCAAGTGTTTGCAAATGAATTTGGGATGATATGGATTCAAAATTTATAGTTTTGGCAAGCATCGATTATGGTTGTGAGCATATCATTGGAATTGAAGGTAAAATTTGTATGATGCGTGTAATCTTGAACCTTAGCCAGCTGAGGAGCAAAGTTCAGGATAGCAAAAACGTGACAGATAAGTGGTCAAGTTACTAAAAGGATTAGAAATAATCGCAGTCATGAAATTTAGGCCTCATTTCAATTTGAAGATGAGGTAAACATTTTTAGGATAGTTTGGTTATGTGCTGTGGAGACTGATAGAATTGTAGTTATTGGACCAGTAAGGACTATTGGTTGACCTAAACAACAAGGAAGGAACTGTGGACGGTGGTGTTTTTTTTATTTGATAGGCGATGAATGTGTGCAGAGTCTGTTAAACAGAGGACAAATATTTTTGTCGAGCAAATACGCGAGGTCTTTGTTAAAAGAAAATATCAAACGTTGAGGGGTATCTAACTCACTTTAGTGAAAAGGGGAAATGAAGTATTTATTAACTCTAAATAACATTGCCCAATGGGAGGATTTTTGTAACCTTGGACCTGCCATGTATAAGTATGGTCAATGGTGGCAAGATCTATCAATTATTCTATCTATACCACCTATTTAAGCTGTGATAAGTGTTTTTGTTAGTATTTTGATATATGGTATTAGAATGATGGAATCCGAAGGTGATAACACTAAAGCTAGATAGTGCAAACCTATGTTGCATGGGTACGGGTACGGGCCACGACAAATTTGTAAAAGGTAGGGTACAAGGACGCAACTATATAAATATTTATACACATATATTATTATTATGTATTGGATTTAATAATTTATATGAGAAGAAGGATGGGAATTAAAATTCGTATAACATTTTTATGTTTCTTTTATTATATGGATTATAAATTCGAAAATCACTATTTTTTGAACTATACATCCAAATGACCCTTCAAAATCATAATTTAAAACTTGGCATGTGTCCAATAAGTTTCAAGAAGTGGAGTGAGTGTAGGATATATGTTCGAAAAATGTATGATAAATGTCTTAATTAAAACATGTGTTGTATAAATGAGTACATGCCTAAATAAATGTATGGATATATGCAAGGAGTATCCAAGGAGTTTGGTACGTGTCGGGTACATGTATGATTTTAAATTACAAGTAACCAAGCAACATGGGTGCAAACAATTTGCCACCAGCCTTTTAGAACTCTCACATTCATATTGCATCATTAGTGATCCCCAAGGAGGTGCCTTTGCCATCCTTATCCACAACATATTAATATCGGCCAATCTATCACTATATTAGCCGATATATATCACTATATCGGTTGATATATCAGGTTAAAGACATTACAACAATGATATTTATGACTTTATAGCGTTATCTACTTTTTAATATTTTTTGATATATCGGCCGATGTCAGAAATATCGGCTGATATCTCCCTTGAAGATATCGGCAACATCGGGTTGTTTTTAATTTGATAGTGCGTTTAGGTTTGACCTGAACCCATAAAAGCCACAAAATCCATCTCCCTAATCTCTCCACTCTCGACTTTTCTAAACTCTAAACATATGTCATGATGTAATTTCTTATGTTTAGAACTCATTAATATGTTTAGATCACATATTACAATGTTAAGTTATGTATGAACATCTGATATGAGACACTCCGATTTTTTTGTGTATCACCGATATTTCCCCAATTTTCGTAATCTGATATGGATTCTGGTTGTTTGATATTTATTGGATATCCGATAGTTAATACATTGCTTATTCATGAAAACTTATGAAGCTGGATTATAGTTCATATCCATTATGCAGTGGGAGAGGGTGCTTGTTACTTGTAACATTTCTTATGCTTGTCATGTGTAGTGGTATTTAATAAAGATGGGTTATATTGTTATAGGAAATTAGGAATTAATAAAAAGTTGTAAAGAGGAAATTGAGTGAGGACATATCACTAATATTCAATCTCTGAACAACTCAAGGAATTGTGTGAGAAGAAAGGAATTGTTCGACAATTGAGTACCCCTACTAGAACATTGTTTGGTATGGTGAGGTCCATGATGTGGCAAAAACACCTACATATACTCTTTTGGAGAGATGTACTTGTGATTGTTTCTTATTTACTACATTGTGTGCCTTCCAAGGCTACCGATCCCACACCCTGTGAGCCTTAGACCGTTAAAAAATCCAGCTTAGGCGATTTATGGCCATAGTGCTCGACGTGGGCACACCACTCCTATTCACATGCGAAGTTGGCCCCAAGGGGAAGAAATGCATATTTATCTACTACTTTAAACATTCTAAAGGTTACATGTTCATTAGAGCACAAGAAGTTAGGTTTGAGTCGCAAGATGCATAGTTCATTGAGAAGGAATTTTTTCACAAGGGGAAGATGAACCAAGACTTCGACTTGTTTGAGATCAAAGAAATGACACTATATAGTCGCATTGAGCATCGGGACCAAGGTTCTCAGCCTCCTAGAGGCAGTGGAAGAGACATTCCCATCATTGATCTTGTTGATCCTATACAGCCATCACATGAATCTCAGAAAATTAGATGTAGTGGTCGTCAACTGATCTCTCGTCATCATTGTCAAATTGTGGGAGATACATCTATGGTGGCACTACATGACATCACATTTGCAAGGTCCTTACATGAGGCTTTTTGGCCCCCAATGTTGAGAAATGGATAGATGCATTGAAAGATGACATGTAGCCTACGAAGATAAATCGTGTCTATGACATGGCAGACCTGCATGCTAGGCACAAGTCTGTGAGAACAAGTGGGTCCTTAAAGTCAAACAAAAGTCACATGGTTCTATTGACAAGTTTAAAGCGTGACTTGATAAGTTTAAAGCGTGAATGAGGAAAAATTGTACCCTCCATGAGGATAGACTCGAGAAAACTCAGTTGTTTATAATGTGATCTACGATTTAATTTATTCGATCAATGTCAACATAGATGTTGTAGATCATGATTGATATCAAAACCCAATGAGATGAATATCATTTTTCATTATTCATTAATCCCATTAAAAGTTGTAGTTTTTTAGCTATAAAAAGTCCATACTATATTTTTTAGGTTAATGAATAGATTGATAAAAGTTTGTTTAATTACATCTATATTTATTAATTTTCATGTCACTCATGATTGATAAAACCCTAAATTTTGAAATTTTATCCATGCTATAATAATTTTCAAACTACAAAATAAATTAAAAAATGATTAAACTTAGGAAAAATCTAGAAAAATTAATATAAAATAAGAAATTTTTTTACCTTATTCTTTAGTTTTCTTGGGTAGGTTTAATGACCAACTAGGGTTGGAATCAAGCATAGTGAGAGCAATGTTATAGAAAACGCTAGGCGGACTAGGCGTTTGAGTATGGGCTTAGCGTCTAGGCAGCACCTAGGTGTTTAATTATTTTTTATATTAAATAATTATAATAATTAATAAAAACATGAATCAAATTTCTAGAAAATTATAAAAAAACTAAATAGCAATCTTAGATCCATAATCAACCATGCACAAATCCTAAATAGCTAAGAATATAGTAATTAAATAGTAAGAAGCATTACCATGCCCAACGTAATAAGTCACCGCACCAGTAAATAATATCGCAAACTCATAAGTCTAATGCTCAAGAATAAAAAAACGAATAGTCTAAATGTCTAACACGTAATATAATAATATAATCTAATCATCATTATCATCATGGAAATCCCCCACCGCATGATCACTCTCCTTTTAGTTCATGTCCTTGTAGTCTTGATCCTCATCCGTGACATCATCGTCGGAGGCGAGAGGCTCTTCTTTGCTAGTAATCATCGAAGGTCTTGCAGCTCTTCATATTCTCTCACTCCTCCAGTTCGCCGCAATCTCAGTCGCTCCGGATACATTCTCCACCATCGTCTAACTAACACCCAAATCCGGATAAGTCTCTTGCTCGTCATCAGGGGAAACTCCATCTAGGATCCATACATGTGCTATAGTACGATCCTGTGTTGTTAGCACTTCTTTGTCTTCTCTTCTTTTGCTTGTACTTGGCATTAAATTTCATAAACACAAGATCCTCCAACCTCTTCGACTCCAATCGATTTCTCTTCTTCGTGTGAATCTTTGAAGAAGAAAAGAACAAATTAGTAAAGTTATAAATGAATAATTCATCTTATTAATTTTAGATATTTGTGTACTGTACCCCTTCAAATGTGCTTTAGTTCCTCTCGCATCCAGAAGAACTGCTAGTGAGGTTAAGAACCTTCATTGTTAAGTTTTGTAGAAAGAGACAATCACCGCCATGCATATACCAACTAGCTGCAAATTCATTATCTTAGTTGAATTCACCGGTGCAAAAAAAAAACTTATGATTGATATATTCAATTTATAAACTCAATTTACCTAGATTGAAGTCCACTTTCTACCTAGCTTTCACCATCAAACTTCTGCCAAATGGACCCTTACTTTCTCTGTACTTCTCCATAAACTCCTTAGTAACCTCAGCTTGATGTTCCTCATTAGGATAAAGCATTTCCACATCTATGAACGCCTCCTTCCCTTCCCTAGAGTTTTTAGCAACATCATCTCGAAAGAAGGGTTAAGGACATAAGTTGCCATATGCAAGAGTGAATATAATTGATCCTTAGGCTTGGAATATATAATATCAATCACCGATTTGCATAGGCTCTTCTTGTTCTTCAAAACAAGTTTAATCTCCTCATTTGTGTCTTCAAACTT